CACGCGAGTCCGGAGCGGAGCCTGGCCTGCTGTGGAGCCGACCTGGTGGTCTCTAGGACCCAAGCAAGAGAGGAGCCAAGGTCTGTCAACAATTTGGGCACAGAGAGGTCAGAGGTCAGGCTTCGGGGCTGAGCCAGACTGTCGGATTCTGCTTCACGCCACTCCCACGTGCTGTTGTTAAAGTGATTGGTGATAATACCAAGTAAACGAGCCAAGACAAAGTACGATCCTTCCGTGGATTCGGCAGCTTTCTAAAAATACAAAACAGAACCAACAGCAAGAACTTTTTAATAAATTATAACTTTATACCCTTTTAGTCTTAAGACACTCAGCTTACAAAAACTTTCCCTGGATGCTACAGCCCCCAGCCCAGAAACTAAAATGCACAGGCAAATTGAGAGAGACAGCTGTTAGTCAGGGTTCTCTAAACGAGCAGAACTAACAGGATGAAGACACGTGCAGATGGAGACACGAAGACGGGTTTAATTAGAGTGAGTGGCTGACAGGTTGTGATTCTCATAGCTCAGCAATGGCTGCCTCCACAGAAAGGCCAAGGATCTGGTAGTTGTTCGGTCCAGAAGACCGGATGTCTCAGCAGTCCTAATCTGGTGCTGGAGTTCCAGGGACGCTCCAGAGAACTGCCAGTTGGAGGTCCTGTTGGGATCCTGAAGAAGAAGAAATGGCTCAGAATAGATGAGCTTGCCAGCAAGACTAAGGGCAAGCAGGCTAAAAGCAAAAACTCCCTTCTCCGTGTCCTTTTGTGTGGCAGAATGTGTGGCCCAGATTTAGGGTACGTCTTCTGATCTCAAATGATCTGGATTTAGGGTGAGTCTCTCACCTCAAATAATCCAATCAAGAAAATCCTTGGGGGTTAAAAGCACTGTCTGCTCTTCCGGAGTTCCTGAGTTCAATTCCCAGAAACCACATGGTGGCTCACAACCGTCTGTAATGGTATCCGATGACCCTTTTTTGGTGTGTCTGAAGACAGTGGCAGTGTACTTATATACATAAAAAAATAAATATTCATTTTAAAAAGAAAAAATCCTTCACAGGCATTCCCAGCTGCTTGGGGTTTAGTTGATTCCAGATGTGGTCAAATTGACAGTCAACATTAGCCGATCAGCGGCATCCTCTCCTTGCTGCAGTGCCCAGATTCAATGAAATGCAAATGGCTCTCTGGTACAGGATGGAGAGGCCACTGAAGTGGTTGCCTGCACCCACCTTTACTAGGGTTGCTATTAAGGGCTACTTGAAAGATCTAGGGTCTGAGCAGGTGTCAAGGGTGCCATAGAAAGTCCTCTGAGGGGAAGTTGGCTTCATCCAGTGTCCAGTGTGGTCAATGGCCTGATAAAATGGCACAGCCTGATATTATCCAGATATATGAGTGGTTATGGAGCCATCTGGCTTGGGTTTAGGATGTTTGCTGACATCCCACTAGATACACATAAGACAGATGTTCAAAGTGAAACTTCCAGAAGGAAGAGTGCAAAGGTAAGGCCCTGGCTGCCAACTGAGGCGATGGTCTGTCCCGTGGTAAATGTACTGGGACTGTGAAGACCATCCTCAAGTAACGCCAATAAAGGTGTTGTATGGAAATGACGGGGGCCAGGGTGTCAGATAGGTCACTGCACTGGGAACTAACAGACCAAATGGAGGGAGAAATGAGCTATCCTCGTCTCTATGAGTTACGGAGAAGCGACCATTGAGATTCCAGTCACCAAACGGGACTGAACTGTTTCTTGAGAAACAGGTTAATCACCAGAGTCCCTAAATAGGAATCACGTGACATTCGAATGAGGTTCCATGCGCATTTTCCTTACATGTTTAATCTTATCATCTTTTCTTTAAGTAACCTGAAGTTAAAAATGTCATTTCTTTTCTTCTGTTTCCCTGACTCCACTTTACTAAAAAACAAACAAACAAACAAACAAACAAAAAACTTTTGAAACGATAAAGCCTGTTTTCATTCTTTATTTCTGCTTTTATTAGTCTGCCTATAGCAACCACTTCTATTCAGCCTGATGAGAGCACACTGAAGAATGAAGTTCTAGAGAGTTCTATAGCATAAAGCCAATTTATATCTTTTAAGTTGTTCTGTGACAAAAATGGATAGCATCAGGGCGACTTTGAGAATTCTTATAAACATACAGTGTCAACTTCCCCTTGTGTGTTTGTTTATATGTGTGTGGGGGGAACGTGTTTGTGTGAGTGTGCATGCATGTGTCCGCTTGTGTGTGCAGAGGCTGGAGGTCGGTGTCAATGTCTTTTCAGATGGCTCTCTATTTACTGAGGCAGGTTTCCTTACACAACCTGAAGTCTGGGTTCTACTACTTTGGACAGCTAGCTTCTTCTGGGACCTCCTGTTTTTGCCTCTGGAGTTCTGGGCATGCACGTGAGCTCACACATTCACTAATTCTTCCGTGAGTCCCCGGGATCTGAATTCCAGTCCTCCTGCTTCCACACCAGGGTGTAATCCACGGAGCTATGTTCCCAGCCCAGTTGGCCTCTTTTTAACTCAAAACCATGTCCTTGTCTGTGACTCTGAGATAACATCTAAGGTATTTGAATTTTCTGAGAGCAGAAGGGCGTGGCTGGAGAAGGGACCCAGGCTCTTCATCTTTTGTCTGTCTGCAGCATGATGACAGAAGGAAGCTCAGCATGCTTCCTTTCAGTAGCCAGAGAGTCACCGCATGAATAAATGCTTTCCTCAAGAAAGCAGTAAGTTAACTTCAGAGAGACTCACAGTTCTTCTGTCAATGGTAATTCTAGATGTGGATATCTGTGTCCTGGTAAGATCTGAGCACTGTGGGAAGTCTGGTGAGAGTTAGAGAGATCCCTACTATGTATGCAAGATTTGTGAGGCTGAAAAAATGTTGTCAAAATAAAGAGGCCATAAGAACAATAAAATAACAGTCTCTGACAGGAATGGCCCGACTTGTAGGACCAGTGTAACCTGCCTGCTGCAGGTCCTTCCGCCTTTGTATTCTCAAGTACAGCTTTTAAAAAATGTGGTGGTTTCTGGGCTGGAGTGATGGCTCAGTGATTAAGAGCACTGGCTGCCCTTCCAGAGGACTTGGGTTTAATTCCCAGCACCACATGACAGCACACAACTGTCTGTAAGATCCAGGGGACTGGACACCCTCACACAAACACACATGCAGGCAAAACATCAATGCACATAAAATAAAAATAAAGTTATTTTTAAAATAAAATGTATCTTTAAAAAAAAAAAAAAAAAGGAGGGCTGGAGATGGCTCGGAGGTTAAGGGCACTAACTGCTCTTCCAGAGGTTCTGAATTCAATTCCCAGGAACCACAACCGTCGGTTGTGGTGGCTCACAACCGTCTGTAATGGGATCTGATGCCCTCTTCTGGTGTGTCTGAAGACAGCTACAGTGTACTCATATAAATCAATAAAAAAAAATAACAAATATGATTTAAAAAAAAACTGGCCGGGCGGTGGTGGCGCATGCCTTTAATCCCAGCACTTGGGAGGCAGAGACAGGCGGATTTCTGAGTTCTAGGACAGTCTGGCCTACAGAGTGAGTTCCAGGACAGCCAGGGCTACACAGAGAAACTCTGTCTCGAAAAACCAAAACAACCCAAAAAAACAAAACAAAAAAACACAAATAAATATGTAAAGCAAGAAGATGGAGGTTTCTCAGCCCACGCCACTGGACACACAATTTCTGCAGAGCAAACTGGTGTTGCATTTTGCATTTATTACTTTGGTCTTTTCCTCTGAGGCTCCTTGTTCTTTCTGTTATTGTTGTTGCTTTTTATTGCTGTTATTTTTGTTATTGTCTTTCTTTTTTTTTCCCTATTTTTCTGGTTTTGGTTCTTCAAGAAAGGGTATTTCTGTGTAGCCCTAGCTGTCCTGAGATCAAATGCATGTGCCAACACCACCCAGTTTTTGTTTTCTTTTGTGGTGTTAGAGATTGGACCTATAGCCACAAGCATGTTAGCCAAGGCTGTACCACTGAGCTATCCAGCCCCCACACTTATTCTGTAAGGGAGATGTAAGAATCAGCTTTGCCTGTCTGTGACAAACCACCTGAGCTACTCAGCTTATTAATACAAGGGAGAAAGGTTTCTCTTGGCTCATGGCTTCAGAGGTCTCATCCTACGGTACCTCGGTTTATTGATCTGGGTCTGTGGTAGCCATTACAGGACACCTATGGCAGGACAGAGCTGCCCCTTTCCTGGCAGCTGGGAAGCAGGAGAGGGTGAAATCTCCCTCGGGGGCATGCTCTGTGTGGCCTCTCCTCTTCCATCAGGCCCTACCTCCTAAGATTGTATGACCACCCAGTAATGCCACAGACTGGAAACTAAGTCTTTATGTAGCACATGGCCTTTGGAGAACACATGAGTGACAAACATAGTACAGGGCTGGAGACACTGCTCAGTGATTGAAAGCATTTATTGCTCTTGCAGAGGACCCAGGATGGGATTCCCAGCATCTGCATGGTGGTGGCTCATAACCATTTGTAACTCCAGTTCTACAGGGTCTGACATTTCTATTGACCTTCCAACGCGCCATGTTTGCTTGTGGTGCACATACATATACACAGGCATAACAGTCACAAAATAAAATA